AAATATAGAAATTGTTAATCTTTTATTAGAAAATGAAGGTATTGATATCGATGCTATTAGTTGTAAATTGGATAAAGATGGGAATTCTTTTTTTTGGAGAAAAAATGCATTTTATAGAGCGGTTGAAAAAGGAAACATCGAAATTATTAATGCTCTATTAAAATATGATTTTGATATCAATTTTATAAATTTCGATTCTGGAAGATTAGATGAAGATCATCAAAAAAAAAGATGATATAAAGCGTGGTTACAAAACTGCTTTATATTTAGCAGTCATGAAAAAAAAACTAAAAATCATCAAGCCTTTGTTGACAAATTTGTATATTGACCTTGATATATATAATACAAATGGAAAAACAAATAACACTGTATTAGACTTGGCAAATAAAGAGAATCTCATCAAAATAATCAATCTTTTAAAGAATTATAAACCAAAAAATACTAAATCTAATGAATGGAATTATACAAATGATATAATTAATGAATTTTATGGTAATTCCTTTGTTACATTTAGAACAATTAAATATTTAAATAATTTGATTGAAAAATTCTTACGAATAATTGGTCAAAGTATTGAAAAAGATTATTCTCAAAAAGTTGTAGATTGCAATGATATTAAAAATGTTTTGTCACAATTTTTTAATGTGACAAGATATATTTCTGAAAAAAAAGATGATTATGAAGAAAATAGCAATGAAGATAATAACAATGAAGATAATAACAATGAAGAAAATGATTATTACGATAATTATTATTATGAAAATGATTATTATGAAGAAAATGATAATAAATCATGTGAAACATCCTTTTATATTAAAACTTATTTCAACATGAACTTCGGTAGCCTAGAAATTGATGATGATGCGTATATTTACTTAGATTCAACAATCAAGAAAATTTTGCATGATATTTTAAATCGCTCATTTGCTAAGAAAATAATTGGATCACATTTTGAACAAAATCAAATAAATTTCCATTATGTGCTTAAATCAATAAGAGACATTGAAGATATTAAATCCCTTTTTGAAATGATTGATAAGGATGTAATCAAATATGAAGTCAATATGAGCAAACCATCAGATTTATGATTATATAACAAGATATATAAATTTTATTCTCTTTAAAATTTTTATATTTTATCATTTGATACAAAATTGTTTAATCATTTTTACGTTATAATAAAAAGTTTATTGATTTGACTTTTTCAATGATATTATCCAACCAAATAAGTTATCAATTATTATATGGATACCAATTACTTATTCAAGACTCCAATTGCTAGTTTTAGAAGATTAATCGAACAAGATTTTAGTGAGAGGTTCCAAATTATTTTAGGTTCAGGTTCACAAGAAAATGATTTTTTTGAACTCTCAAGAAATGAAGCTCGTATTATATCCAAAAAAATCAATGATTTTTGCATGATCGATCCAACCATTAACAAATATGAACTTTTAACTCCAAACAATGAGCAACCGCAAGAAATTCGAAATCTTCTTGATCTCATAATCTTATCAACAAAAGAGCAAGTTACGATACCAAAAGATAAGCAAAAACAATTTGCAATGATTCGATTTTTGCTTGGCGAAGAAGTTCCATCCGATCTTTATAATATCAATAATCTCAAAGAAGCCATTTCGCAATTAAGCACTGAAATGAATTCCATTGCAGTCAACTACTTGAGCGATCATTTCCTCGAACTTTTAGAGAGCGACGAAACGAAGCATCTGAGCAAGGAAGTGATTTTCTCAATCATCGACAAGTACAACGAGTCAGAAGAACAAAAACAGAACGAAACACAGAAGAAGAAGGAAATATTCGAAGCGATGAAAAGAAAAGAAGAAGCAGAAATTGTCATTCACTTCATCACTGGGATGCGTTTTGATGAAATTGCCAAAGAAGAGATTGAATATGTGATGGAGAACCTTGATGACGATATAATTCTAAATGAGCTGCCGCGTGTGACACTTTTCATCAAGAAAATATTGAGACTTAGTTGTAATGAAAAAGTGGACAAAAGTAAAATTACTGAAGTGGAATTCAATGGAAATGAACTGTCAGGAATCATCAGTCACCTCAAAAAGAAGCATGGAGACAATCTTGAAGCAAGCGGAGCATTGAAGCTCACCGGTGGCGGAGATCCAAGTCCACAATATCCGATCACAAATCTCATCAATTATGATCAAGACACTTATTACTTCAATTGGAATAGTCACAAGCCATCCAGCGAATCAGATTCTTGGATTGAATTTGATTTTGTGAATGAGAAGATCAATCTGACATCTTACACCATAAAAGCATATAGAGATGGGCCTAACCTAAACTGGAAGCCGAAGTCGTGGCGAATCGTTGGCTCGAACAATCACGAGAAATGGACAGTTCTGGATCACAAAGAAAATTGCAATGATTTGAATGGAAGCTGCTACCAGCACCGATTTGAATGCGATAAAAAAGATGGCTTCTATCGTTACATTCGATACATACAAGAAGATTCTTGGAACAGTTCTTGCTGCAAATATACATTTAGCTTAATGTGCTTTGAAATGTTTGGTGCAATCTCTTAACAGTTTTTTACGTTCTTTAAAGAGTTCTAGAAAGTTGGTCATTAAGATACAAATCCAGTTCATTATTTGAGTAAAAGGACATGATTTTATTTATTTATTTGGTATCAATTGTAGACCAGTCTGCGCATTTCAAATCGGCCTATGTTTTTGACCATATATTGACCTTTCAGCTTTTTTTTTATTATATTGAAATATCAAATATTTTTATGGAATTTCCAATCAAATATTTTAATGATGTAGCTTTGATTGGTGCGGTACAAAATAAAAATGCCGAAATTATTCGTTTATTATTAAAAGCATTTAAAATCCAAAATATTTATATAATTTTAAAATTCTTTTTTAAATTATTTTTGAATACAAAATAATCTATGGAATTTCTAAATAAAATGTTTCACAGAGCTGCCATTGATTATGCAATCCAAATGAATCATCTAGAAATTATTGATCTTCTATCAAAGCATCACAAGTAAAAATGGATAGTATCACCGAGATGAAATATCATTCATATAGATAATTTAAAGGTATCTAAGATCACTTAATTAACTTTCAATATTAAAAAAAGATATCATCAAATAGATCTATTGGATTTGGTTCAAAAAAATAATATAATATGAATTAAATTATTTTATCTATATTTTCAATTTTGTTTTTAATATTTTTATTTTATAAGTAAAGGTATTTTAATATTTAATTGAAAAACGGTTTATTTGAATTACAATTTTGGAAAATTTTGTTAAATTGCCCTATTAGTATTTATAATAAATTTATACACAAATGGATCAAGATTCATATGATACTCTTCTTGATAATTTACAATGTCCATTGTGTTGTTTAGTGATGCTCCCTCCATTACGTTCACCAATGATAATCCCGGAATGTGGGCATACGATTTGTCAAACATGTATTTCAAAGTTACGCGAGTGTCCATTTTGTCATCATTCGATTTCAAATCCAGTCAAGAACATCCTAGTACTTCAAATCATAGATACATTAAATCATCAAAATCTAATTCCAACATTTCTCAATCCTCCACCTCCACAACCCAACAAGCTCATACCGAAAATTGAATGTTTTTGTACATCAGCAGCCAGTGGTACCCAATACATCTCCCAAAAATCTTATTTTTGTAAGACATGCAATATTACTGGAGATTACTGCATTTGTGAAGTTTGTGCCAGAACTTGTCATAATGGTCATGATGTCATCTTATGTAAAAATTCTCCCACCTCTTACTGTGACTGTCACGACAAGTGTCAATGTTTCAAAATTCCTTCAAAATCATTCAAATTTCGATGCACTTTTGAGTTAACGTACGGAACTCCAATTGAGCAGCTGATGTACCAGTGTAAAGACTGCCATATCACTGGTGATTATTACATCTGTCAGAACTGTGCAATCAAATGCCATCATCGTCACAATTTGAAATATTGCGGCATTGTCAAAGGCAAGCATTGCCAATGTTTGAATATGAGTGAAGATTGTCAAATTTCGTTTCGAAAACCGATCTGTACTTTCTTGCTCACAGGGAAAAAGTATGCCCCACAGCCGTGGTATAATTGTAAGACGTGTGGTTTGGTCGGCAGTTATGGTTGTTGTCCAGTTTGTGCGCATCATTGTCACAAAGGCCATGAAATTGAATACAGAGGAGTTAGCAGCGGGTTTTTTTGTGATTGTGGTGACGGTTATAATGGCAAAAAGTGTCAGATGATAGAAAATGATTGTTTGAGTTATTTGGTTCGTTGTACCAATTTTAATATCGAAAAAAAAGATAAACCGATTAGACAGAGAAAGTACAATTGTGCAACTTGTGGAATATCTGGAATTTGTGAGGCTTGTGCGGTGAATTGTCATATAAACCATTCAATTGAATTCGTTGATGTGGATGAATTCTGTTGCGGTTGCAAGAATACTAATAATTGCATAATGTTGTTGGCTCCAATGCTTCACACTGGAAGAACTAAATGTGATCGAGTGGAGCTCGATAAAGATGACATTTCGGCTTGTTATGTTTGTTTAAGATGCGATAAATCTGGTAAAAAGAAAATTTGCGAAAGTTGTGCTCTGAAAAAGCATTTAAGTCATGATCTTCATTTTATAGGTTATATGAAGTTCGACTGTAGTGAAAATGAGCGTGCTGCAAAAATAAAGCCTTCCTTATTTAGACCAAAAATTACAAAAATTTGAAAATAATAAATATTTTATTTTTTACTATCATGAAAATCGCTTTTTTTTTTTATTAATTTATTATTTGAAATATGATCATTCAAAATTTGTTTTCATTCAAATATATTTATTCTTCATGTAATCTCTTTTTTAAAAAGGGAATCATTTTTTCAAATATTTCCTGTACTAAGCAATTGCATGAATATTACCTAATTTTACATCAGTAATGTGATGTTATCCCAAAAATAATATAAAAAAAAAAAAAAATCAAAAAAATTGTCGCCATGGGATTCGAACCCACGAACCTCAGATTTTAAATCTGGTACCTTAGACCACTCGGTCAAGCGACATTGATATTTTGTATGAAAATTAATATTTGAATAAGGTTTTCACTAAACTAAATATTCATATTTTTGATTGATAAAACGATATTCATAAATGAATTGAATTTTATAATAATATCTTTTTTCTATTTTGTTAAATAATTTTTTAACCAATTGATGATTTAACTTGATATTCATGATCTTGTTCAAGTTAAAAAACTATATATGGTCCTTTTTTGATGAATCAAAAAGCTTCGATCTTGTTTCAATTAATAATCAATATAAAATCCTTTTTTTAAATGTTTTGATTAAAAGGTCATTCAACTTAGTCCAAGACAATTTAAATGGTCGAATACGTTTTTTATTACTGTAAAATTTCGAAATTTGAATACAACTTGGCCAATTGGCCAAAATATATTCAAAAATTTAGATTAGAATTTGATCTAAATTCTGTAAAGTCTACAAAAATAAACTTTACAAATTAAAAGTAGGAACTGTTTTTAAGCGGTTAGGAAATGGGGTTTTTGGTCACTTTAAGTGTGCATTTTATAATTTCCTTCAAAATGAGACGAAATAATAAGTGGGCATTTTGATATGACTTTTTCAATGGAAATTTTCATTTTAATTGAATTGATTCTTTTATTTTCAATCAATATTTTCATTTTTCATTAATGTCTCTGTTCTCAGTTTATTATGGTCGACAGAGTGATGTTGATCCTGGAAAATATGAGGCAAATCCCAAAAAAGTAAATATCAATGGAGAAGTAGTTGGATCTTTTTTTTCAGGTAAAATCGAAATGTCATATCAAAATGATACTGAAGATGCTTATGAATACACAATTGTGCCTGGGAATATTATTTGCAATGCTTGTATCCATGGTTTTGAAATATTGCTTGATGAAAATCCTATAAAGCTAAAAGGCCATGAAAATTCTAAAGTTAATAATGGTATATATTTAATAAAACGTAGAGAAATTTTCATGGCCTTTTAGCTTTATAGGATCAGTTTCAAAATAAGAATGGTCAAATCATTTGACTCAAATGTAACCTATTTTTTATTATGGCTTATGCTTTTATTTTGAAGGGCTCAAACTTGGGTAAATCAATTAACACAATGATTCAATCAAAATGTTGGGTTGCTTTCTTTTACTAGTGAAGCTTTTTTATATATATTTAATACTTTATTTTATTAGAAAGGCTCACCATCAATCCTAGTCAAAATAGGATATAATTATTTAAAATTGTTTTGTATTGTTTTTATTTGAGCTACGCTTTGCAGTTCAAAAAAAAAATGGCCAAATATCATATCGCCTTTTTTTTAATTTACAAATGAAATTTATAAATTCAATTATTTTAATATTTTATAAGTGAAAATAGTTTTCATCTTCTTAATATCTATAATATTTGTTCAGATTACTTTTAAAGCTCATAAAATTGCTTGTAATTTTAACCTAAATAGGTCATGTGTAACTTTGTAGGAGAGAAGAAGATAAAAGCATACAAATGAAAATAAACAAATGCAATTATATACGATAGAAACTCAAATTATAATGATGAACTTATTAATTATGAAAGAATTATTAATGTATTATTAGAAATCTGATATTTATTTCAATGATGTAATTTTGATTTTGATTGACTCTAAATATTATGATAATAATTCATATTTTTTTTTAAAACAGGGATGCATTTCGGGCACTGGCAGGGCAAGTTGCCCGAACAAACCTGTCTGCCCCGGCACTGCTCGGGCAGATCTTCGGGCATCGGGCAAGCCCGGGCCCAAAGGCGTTGGCACTTTTCGGGCGGCCCTTTTTTGCGCGGGCACCTATCGTCGGGCAATGCCCAGATTTTGCCCGATAACTTCATAATTGATTGTCCAACTTCAAATTTATATATACAAAATCATTGAATTGATATAATATCGAACTAAAATTCGATATTACATCCTTTTGATTCTTTTTGGTGAGAAAGAGAAAAATTATGAAATTTTTTTGCTTACAACTATGTATTTTTCAGTTTTTGAGATCATTATAAGAATATGATACTTCTAGTATAAATTATTACTTTTATGTTATTATTTTAATAATACAGCGCAATAAACTATATATTTATATAATAAAGATAAATTGATCAATCTTCTAATTTAGGTTATAATTCAATTTAATTTGAGCCATTCAAAGCATATTCATTTGACCTATAAAAAGCATTATGCTTGAGTTAAAAGTAAATAGTATAGTAAAATAATAAAATTCTTCTAATATACAATCAAATATAAAAAGGATTTAAGGAAATAATCAAAAGCACTCATAAGAATTTTTTATTTTGTATAAACTCTTATGAAAATGGTTACATTTTTTAAATAATTTTTATTTTTCAAAAGAAAGTATTTATCATTTATAATTAAATGATGAATAAATTATGAATGATGAATAGAAGCTAAACTAATTATATAAGAAAATATCAAAAATTTAAAAAAGGTAATGAAGTAATTTGATTTTAACTTTTTAAATTGGTTGACGAAAAACTTTGGTGATTTGAGACAGATAGATACACAACCTTGTGATTAATATCATATAAAAAATAGTAAATATTATTATATAATTTAATTTAAATAAACTCTGTTTTATGTTGAAAAAAATTAAATTTTGTATTTTTAAATTTTTTTTTTTCTAAAAAAAAAGCGTTACCACTTTAAATACCGTTACCATATTAAAAACACTACTGTATATATATATTATGTTAAAAATAAAAATGGGATATTAAATTTGATTCATATAAAGGTTGTGTATCGATCCTCTCCGGTAGCCGTTATTTTCCCGGTAAAATATCGATATTACGGCTCTAACCGCCGGTAACGGTATTTATCAATAAAAAACCGAAGTATCGATACAAAAGTGGAAAATTTATATCGAATGTCAGGTTTTTTGTCGGTATTTTTTTAACAAAAAATGTATCGGATTCATTTAAAGATGACTAAAGAAATTTATAAGGTTCTAATGAATATAGTTAGTTCTCTTTAATTACATATTTTACAACAAATAATCATCACAATAATTGAATAATCAATGGTTTCTGAAATATCGTAAGTTTAATCATCTTTATGTCAATTTCTATTTGTAGATAAATACAACATTCCAGAACTATTGAATTAACTATTAATATGAGAAAGTACATAATATATATAAATTTTATTGTTTTTAATGATAATAATGATATCGAAAATTTGGATTGTTTAATGAAAATGAATATGACGAGATTTCTGAAGAAGAAAGACAATAATATACTTTTTATAGGCTAGTAATTATATTTATAATTAAAATATTTATTTTAAATTAAATAATCAAATGTTTTATTATTTTTATTCATTATTTATTAATAAAATTTATATATTAAAATACCGTATCGATACTGATAAAAAGTATTATAAAGTACTTTCTTAGTAACCGCTGATACTCTAAAAATACCGAAGCACTTTTGTATCGATACTAAAAAATACCGAGCAAAAAAGTATCGATATTTACCGAATACCGATACTTCTTCGGTAACCGGTATTTAGTCGTATCGATAAACAACGCTGATTCATATATACTTTTAAAATATATTTTTTATATGAAGCAAAAATATCAAACTTTTCGATAAAATTGATATAGATTAAAATTGTTTTTTATTCATCTATATCAATTTTAAATATAGTATAATATATACAATCAATTAAACTTTGTTTTTTAATTTTCGCGAAAATTTGTTTTTTACACGCGAAAATTAAAAAACAAAGTTTATATAAAATAAATTTAAAATTTTATTGAAAATACCAATATAAAAAATTTTATAAATTATTTAAAAAAACTTTTCGGGCAATGATATCACTAACCGTCGGGCTGACAATTATCCCGATACTGCCCGAACTATCATGTCGGGCAGAAAAAGTGACACTTGCCAGGGCACGCCCTTATGTCCATCCCTGTTTTAAAAAAAAAAAAAAAAAAAAAAGAAAATGAAAATGAAAATTTTGGTAGATAGATATCACATAAAAGAATTTTTTGCTAAAAACTAATAATTTTAGGTGGTTTTAAAATTACATAATTGGTTTTCTAGAATTCAAATATTGTATAGTTAGAACGGTTATTTAAATTCAAATATTGGTATTGTTAAAACGTTTTTCCTTTTGTTAAATAATTAGAAAATTTCTATTCAATTAATTGTCTGACTTTTTACTTCAAGTTTAATAGGTCAGATAATCTGTTTTGGCGAGAAAAAAAAAAAAAACTAAAAAAATTGAATTTTGAGAAAAACTTTTCTTTTTAATCAAGAAGAATTAAAAAATATGTTTTCTCATTCCATAATATATGAAATATCTTAAAAGAAATCATATAAACATTAAAAAAAGTCAGATTTATTTAATATGAAATGATGAAAAATATTTTTCATAGTTGGTCTTCTAGAATTCAAATATTTGAATAGTTTCAGAAAATAGGGCTTCACAGAAATTCTGTATTTTTTCAAAATATCTTAAAAGAATTTGAACGAAATTGTTTTTATATACAAAAAGAAACATATCAATGTTTTTAAAAAGAGTTTAAAAAATTATTATGAGTAATTTATTTGTCATCTTCATTATCATCAAAATCGCTATCTTCATCATCGTCTTCAATATCAAAATCTTTACTAAGTGCTATATCAACACCGTCTTCAAAATCATCGTCGTCGTCATCATCATCATCATCATCATCGTCATCGTCATCATCATTATTATCATTATTATTATTATTATCATTATTATCATTATTATTATCATCATCATCATCGTATTCATAATCTTCTTCTTCTTTTTTATTATTATTAACATTGTTTTCTTCTGCTTTAACAACAACAAATTCATCATCATAATCATTATCATAATCTTCATCATTAATAACATTATCTTCTTCTTTTTTAACAGCAACCTTTTCTTCTTCTTTAACAACAACAAATTCATCGTCATAATCATCATCATAATCTTCAAAATTAATAGCATCATCTTCTTTTTT